TAAAAAAAAAAAAAAAGCTATTTGATGGTGATGAATGGATAGTAATGTCTTTTTATAAAAAACAATAATTATTTTATTTAACTTTATTTATTTGACCAGAGAGGGACAGAGTGAGAGAGAGAGGGAACGTGAGAAAGCAAGCCATCAGGTCCAGGACTCGAACCATGGTCAGTCATGTGGGAGTCCAGCATCCTTAACCACCATGCCACCTGCTGGCCCCATGGATAGTAATGTCTCTGTCTTCACTGATATGCATGGTAATCGTGCTAGAGAAAGAAATGTAATACGCTGAAAGATACCATGTCATTAAATGTAATATAAAAAATTATGATAAATAAAATGAAATAATAACAAATGGAATTAAATAATTCTTTAAAAAAAAAGAAAGTGATGAATTCCAGGTCCCACCTCTGACTAGCTTGGACACTGGGCTTACGTCTCTGAGCCTTGGTTTCCCCACCTGTGATTTGAGAATGACAGTGGTGTCCACCTTACACAGAGGTATTTAAGGACGAAGTGACCTTCCTCTCGGACCCTCCCTTGTTCTTGAAGTCGGGGCACGTTGTCCTTTCGTACCATGCTCCTGGCTCCTGGCTCGGGGCTCAGTCCTGAAATTCAGTTTCCCCCATGTTCTCTCATTTGACTCCTTCTCATCCCTCCAAACCTTGACTCAACCCGAGTGGCTGAGAAAAGCCCCGCGAAACTCTGGCTCAGTCAGATGTCGTGTGTGCCTAGCTCCCAGCCTGTCCCTTGAGGCTGTCTCCACATTTCCTTTTGTTCCCTTAAGGTCTTTATTTATTTATTTATTTATGAGTTATATTATTTAAGCTTATTTATTTTAATTTGACCAGAGAGAGACAGAGTGAGAGAGAGAAAGTGAGAAAGCAAGCCTCCAGATCCAAGACTCAGATCACTGTCAACCATGTGGGAATCTGGTATCATTTTTTTTGGCGAGGGGGGGGAGGTTTTGCTATAGGGGTGGGGGGAGGTTTTGCTATAGGGCATGTGTGCTCGCCAGAGAGAGACAGAGAGACAGAAAGCTAGAAATCACCCCCCTGTGGGGGATGGCCACGCAGCAATCCCTTCTCTTGGGCATGCACGCACATGCGCCCGGCATGAGTTTAAGCCACCGGGTCCGGGACTCGAACCGCAGTTGACTGCATGGGAGTCCAGCAGCATAGCTATTGTGTTAACTGCTGGTCCCTGGTGGTTTTCATATTTCTACTTGTGAGTTAATGCTTTGCATCTAGGTAGCAAATTCCATAAGGAGGGGGACAGGGGGGGGCAGCCTTTTTTTTTTTTTTTGGCTGTTGTAATGTCCACCTCCTGACCCATGACCTCAGTGGTAGGCCAGAGAGTCATGCCCTGACCCCTGGAAACTGTGAACATGTTATTCTGCATGACGGAAGGCGTTTCGCAGATGTGGTCAGACTCGCAGACCTTAGAGTTGGGAGATCGTCATAGCCCTCCTGGGAGGACCCAATCACATGAGGCCTTCAATGCCCAGACTTCCCTCCAGCTAGTCAGACGGCCATGGCAAAGGGAAAAGGCATATTTGAAGCGGAAGGCCTCGAAGTGCTGTCGGACAGAGACCTCAGTCCTACAACCACAAGGACTGAATTCCGCCAACAGCCTAGTGTTGGAAGTGAAGTCTCTCCTAGTTGGCCCCAACACCTTAACTTCAGCCATGCGAGAAGTTTAAGCAGAAGACGGGGCCACGTCAGACTGGGCTCCTGACCACAAAATCTATGCGATAATAAAGGTGTGTGGGGACCATTACATGGTGTAATGGTTACGTCGCTGGACTCCCACATGGCCAACCGCAGTTTGAGTCCCGAACACAGTGCCTTGAAACTCAGGCTGGGTGCTTGTGGGTGAGTGCCCAAAATCTTGAGAGGAGAATGGAGGAGAAGGGATTGGGGCATAGCCATCCCCCAGGGGGTTGATTTCTCACTTTCTGTCTCTCATTCTCTGTCTCTCTGGAGAGTTCACACACGCTATAGCAAAAATCTCTCTACGAAAATATAAATAAATAAAATTCAGATGTGTTTTAGAAATGTTCTTAATTTGAGGTGATTTGCTATAGAAGTGATAGAAAAACAATATACTAGCGGCTACAGGGGCTCAATAATTACCCTCTGATGACCCACAGGTGCACCAGGTGCTGGCGGACAGGGCTGTGGCCTCGTCCTTCTTCCTCGCTTACTGCGACGTGTGCGGTTTACGGAGACACCATCCTGCCCTCCCTCCAGCCCCCTGCGTGGACCTTGGACCTGACCCTGGGACGTGCGACAGCTGTTGAGTAGCGACGAGCTGGAAAAGTACAACCAAGGAGGAGGGCGGGAGTGGACGCTCAAAGCAGCCCAGGGCTCCCCCCTCCTTCTAACTGCCTTTTGGCAAAGAGAAGATCAAGACTGTCTCCGCCCCAGCCGCTGTTTGTCAGGGTTTCCATCCTGCGGAACACCAGTGCCACTCCTGCCTGTCACAGACTTCCTGGGTACCGCATCCCATGGAACAGGGCTGCCAGGAAGAGAAAGGGGAGCGAAGAACAGGTCGCCTGGATGAGGAGGGAGACAGCCCACCTGAGTGCATGGCAGATCCCATGGGTG